TCCCGGGTGGAGGCCGCCCGCGGTGCCGTGGTGGGTGCAGGAGCAGGAGCTGCTGCCTGCGGTGTCGCTGGCACTGTCCCCAGCCTGGGCTCACGGGCTGCATCCCCCACTGCTCTGGGCTCCCCCAGCGCGGGGCTTGTTCTGTGTCCCAGCCCCACCAGTGGCCTCGGGTGCCTCTGGCCTCCTCGAGAGCGGCATTGTCCCAGGCTGAGCTCAGGCAGGGCCGCATCCCGCATGACGATCCCGGCTCGCTCTGCCTCCGCTGCAGCAGGACGCTCTCCGGCATGGTGGGGGTGCGTCCAGGCCGGGCTGTGACTGAGCCGCGGTTTGTGGCCGGGGGCCCAAGCGGAAAAAAAAGTCAGCGCCCCGCCCCCCGGTGATAAGTCCACTGGGCTCCGGCCGCGCGGGAGGACGGATGCGGCTGCTGCAGGGATCACGGGCCACAGCATGGCCAGAGGAGGGGCCGCCTGGCTCCCTGCGAGTGCCGAGCAGCCCTGCTGAGCTCGCGGACATGTTGTCTGCATGTCCCAGGTTCCTCTCATGCTCCTGTCTCCCCTCGCTCAGTGCAGGGCCCTGCTTGGCAGCGCGGGAAGGCAGAATGTGGGCACGGCAGTGTGGGTAGGTGGACGGCTCCTGCTTTCCAGTGGGAAGTTGCCCGCTTGGACACATCCCTCATCCTTTGCGCAGGGCCGTGCGGGAGGCCGGGAAAGCCTGGCCCTGCTGTGTCTTGCGCTCACAGGCCCTTAGGGCTGTTCTGTCCTAGCCCTTGGTGGTGCCCAGCCTTCACTCCAGAGCTCCAGCCCTGCAGGAGAGGGAGCTCAGAGAGGAGCAGCTCGGCCCCACGGCTCCCTGCAAAGTGGGGCGAGGAGCAGCGCAGGGCCCACATGCCAGCCTCTCCTTAGGGTGCTCCAACCCTCGCCCTGCCCGGGGCCGCGCGTGCACTCAGGAGCAGGTGAAACCACCCCCCGTGGCTCCAGTGCCAGCGCTCGGGAGCCGCCAGAACAATGTGATGCGACGCACAGGGTCACGATGTGCCAGTCCCGTGGTGCCTTGTCCAAAATAGCACAGCACGCACCTGCCGCGGGGCTCTGAGTGGGGATGGGTGCGGAGCAGGGCCCGGCAGAAGCACGGGCGGACACCAGGTAGGTGCCAGCATCCCAGCTGTGCGCTCGGGATCTGCTCTCCAGAGGGGCCCAGTGCGCTCTGCCAAGAATCTCCCTCTTGGGTGCTTTTCCTGAGTGTGGTGTCATGGCTGCTCTGGGGACGGTGGTGGCCACACGGGTCGCCTCGAGGACGGTCTGGGCAAAGGATGGGCAGGTGCTGGAGCCTGCACTGTGTCCAGTGCCTGTGGACGTGGCTGCTTCAGGTCCAGGGCGAATGGAAAGTTTGTGGAGGAGGTGACAGTGACCAAGTGCGGCTCAGGTTCGCTCTGCTCTCTCTGGGTATTTTAAATACTGGGAAGGACCTTGGCTCCAGCCCTGCTCTGGCCATGAGATCTCATGTCCCAAATTCCCCCTGCCGCTCGCTGGCTCATCAGCCTGGGCCAGGCAGGAAGCTGGGTGCTGGGCAGTAGGAAGCAGCTCTGGGAAGTGTTGGGGAAGCTCTTGGGGCTGCCTTTGGGGTGTCCCCTGCAAGCTCCGTCCCATCCTGGTGCTCCAGCTTCGCCCTGCTCCAGCTGCAGCTGTGGCCCCAGAACATGCCTAACTCCCCGTCCCTGGCACTCGGTTCCATCCCATCCCAATGGAATCCCAGAGGAGCAGTTCTGGGCTGCACAGTGCCTGCAGCAGGCGTGGGTGCAGCAGTGCATGGGGACATGGGACATGCACAGTTGCAGCAGTGCACAGGGATGCGGCATATCGGGGGGATGTGAGGTCAGTGCGCTGCCTCTCCTGCCCTCCCCTCGTGGGAAGCTCCAGGCAGGATCGGCTCTGGACGCTTAATGAAGGCTGCGTCCCTGCTGATGGCAAGTGTCCCCGCGGGCAGCCGATGTGCTCTCGCTTCACAGCACTGGGGCTCTGCCTTGCTGAGCATCCTGCCATGCGCCGGCCACACTCCCACGGCGTGGACTCCCTAACGGCCACGTGCCTGGAGCCAAGACCCTGGCACAGGGATGCAGGGGTTTGAGGACCCCATGCTGAGCCCAGCAGGGACCCCATCCTTGGACTGCAACAGGCGCTCACGCAGTCCCCACCCAGCATGGCTCCACTGCTTCTGGGATGGGAGCGTCACTCCAGCCCTGCTCCAGGTCCAGATGTGCCCAATGCAGGGGAGCGGTGCCCACACCTCTTCCCAGACCGGGGGAGCTAATCCCCTCCGGAATGCCCGGCCCACGGTGAGGGGACGCCCTGGCCTGGGCATGCAGGCCGCATTAGGTTTCAGGACAGCTGCCACGCTGCGGCAGGGACGGGGACAGGTGCAGGCGCTGGGCTTTGGCTGTGCCCACTGCCCTGCCCTGGGTGCCAGCAGGACGGGATGGATCCTGCACCCGCAGCCTCATGGCGCCGGGGCAGGAGGAGCTCTAGGGCACCAGTGCCTAATGCTGCTGGGGGATGAGCCACCTCCTCGTTGGCCCGGGGCACCGCCAGCCCCGCTTTGCATGTGTCAGGGTCTGCAGTGAGGCCGAGCCAGCTCCCCACTGTGCAGGGGACGCCCACGGGGGCTCGCGCTCCTCTGCCGCCTGGCGCCGGCCGTGTTTGCACAGCCCATGCTTCACCTCCACACACGTCGGAGCGCTCAGCAAACACGGCCATGACGTCCCCTGTGGCGGCAGG